TTTATAACCCTCTCCATAATAATCTTCTATTGCAATATTTGGATCCTTCGAAGAAATATCCTTTTAGAAGGGCTTTTTCTATGACTGTATGAATATTAATATTACTCTTGGAACTTGTTTCAACAATTTCAAAATCTAAACACGAGTACACATTCATTATATCAGTAACTTTTTGTTTAACTTGATCCAAATTTAGTGAGCTATTGGTCTCCAACTTATCAATTTGAGTGATACCTATTAATAATGGTACTGATTCGTCATCATGCATGTATACAATAGATTTAATAATTCTTTCAAAAACCCCATACTTGTCAACATCTGCGTGTATCGGTAAAAGCACAATATATCCCCTTGCTCCTTTTAGTTTTGCTAATTCATGTAAATACTACACAATATTATAGAAACTTACATTCCAGGAACAAGTAATAATCAGTACTCCTAAAACCAGTCTCCCAAATTTCTAATTCAACTTTTCTCTCATTAAATAGGATAGTTTTGTAAAATATGTCATCTATTGAATAATCATATTGATCATAAAATACATCATTTAAATATCTATGAATGAAACTATGAATTCCTGATCCACCAGGTCCAGTTATGCAAAGTTTAAAATTAGCCTTATTGGTATTCAAATAGTTTCTCCTTTCCATTTCATTCAAAATTGCAAAACTTCTCTTAAACGACCTCTTCCTCTCCACAAATTCCTGTAATGTTTGATCTTTTTTCTTCCAAACATCCCAAGGATTGATTGGTTGAATCATCTCCTTTCCATCCTCATTAATTTCCAATCTAATATGAATAAATTGATACAAGACCATCTTCCAATATTTCTCCAAATATTCCCGAACCTTTAATTGCTTGGAAATTAATTCAAAATTACATAAATTTTTAATATTTGACTCGAATCGTATCGTTCTATTATCGGTAATGATGACAAATTCCATCATGTGAAGAATCAGTTCGTGAGGAAGATCAACGAGTTGTTGTGGCATTTTTTTTCTTTTTCTTCCGATTGAGTTCTCTCCTAAAGTTCATTGTAAACTAATTTTTCAAATAAATGTGAATTTAATCTAATGAAAGGATCTGTTACTTGATGCAGAACTCAATTTTCAAAGATCTTCAAACATTGGTGCATCCATATCTAGTAATAGTCGAAACGTTCTGATTTCTCCACTTTAATAGAACTAGGTCCAATATTGGATGCACAAATCGTGTTGATATAATATCTACCACTTGCATTGAAGAATCTGGGACACCATGAAAATCCTCCTTCATCTGATTCATTTGAATAGGAAAGCTCTCCATTTAATGGATTATAATAGCCACATGCGTCCATAACATTGAAGAAACAACATTCCTTAACATCAATCAATCCATTCATCCACATTCCACTCACAAATGGAGCCACACAAAGATTAGTATTCTCTGTTTCTCGTAGTTCCAATTTCACTCTCTGTCAAGTAACCTCTCAATGCAATCACAACAGAATCTGAAAGAAGTGAAAAGGAATAGTCACCATAAATTATTGCCAAAATGGTAGCCAACTTTAAGTGGGATTCAGTTGCTGCATTACGATTATTCAGTTTGTAGTAAAATGTTCCATATTCACCTTCCTCATCTTTTAAATCCAATCTTGGCAAACATTCTAATATTTCCATACATTTACGAAACCAATAAAAAGGGCCCATGTCATTTGGTTCAGTCCAATCTTCTATAATTTCCTGCTTTTCCTGATCACTTGATAATTTAAAACAATTAATAAATTCCTCATGATTAATTCATTCATATTATCAAACATCCACTTGTCATATAATATTTGCCATATTGGATTGCTCTTTGCCACTCGATTGAATTGTTTGGAAACTAGAGAGCATGAAGCAATCAAGGTTGATAAATCAAGAAATAGAAATGAGTGCATCAATGTATCGGAACACATCAATTCGTTATCGGTTAACAAGCAAAGACTCATCGTGCTATTTTTTTTTAAAAATTATTTATTGAACTTTTCATTTCAGATTTGATTTATTACAAATGCATTATCATCGTATCTAATGTTATTAAATCAATTTCGTCATTTACATCAAAACCTGAGGAAGAGGAGGAAGAAGTTTTCTTCTTTGATGATGGAATTCCAGAAAAAGAAATTCCAGTCACTACAATTCATTTGGATTTTAATGCCATCAAGAAGATTTCAAGCTCTACCGAGCTCATTGATTGTGCAGAATTGGAATCTGTTGTACAAATATCTAAAAAGATGAATACAAAGGAAAATCAAACAACCAAAACAAGCATTATCAAAGACACTAAAATTTGCCGACACCAGGGATCGAACCAGGGACCTTAAGATCTTCAGTCTTACGCTCTCCCAACTGAGCTATGTCGGCTTCTTATTCAGTTATTCTGTAAATTCTTAATAAATTAATATATGTAAAGTTCCCAAGTAAAAAACCATTTGCCGCAATACTCAAGTAAAGGAAAGTTGTACAATTAAAAAACCCAAACAAAAGGTTCAATTATCGAGTGCAAAATTCAAATTTGCAGTAAAAAGTAATTAAAAAAATGTCTCTCAACAAAGCCTGTAAGAATGGTGATGTTTCGCAAGTTCAATTATTATTATCAGGTGATGAAGTAGTTGATATTAATGATCAATATTCCTATTCCTCTCCATTATATGCTGCTTGTAAACTCGGAAATATTGCAATTGTTAAATTATTATTAGCTACGGGACGACGAGTCAATATCAACAAGGGAGTGCACTGCTATACAGATTATTGTTCAAATCTATTTGCTGCCTATATGCGGGGTTTTAGAGATATTGTAAAGTTATTATTAACAATTGATGGCATAAATGTTAATGATGGTTGTTATCTAATGAGTACTTCATTTCAACATTATGATAAACAAGATTTTCCACTGTATTATGCTTGTAAAATAGGTGATTATGAAATGGTTAAATGGTTATTGAAATTTGAGGATATTGAAGTTAACAGAGCTATTTTCAATTATGATGTAAGTGGATAGTTCCTGTTTAGTAATTTTTTCATTGTGTCAGGAACCAACGAATAATGAATATGTTTATAGTACTTTAGAGCACGATAGTAGTGATTATCCTTATTTAACTACGCCACTTTATGCAGCATGCAAAAGAGGATATTTGGAAATTGTCAAATTATTATTGCAATTCAGAAATATTAGTGTCAATGAAGGGGAGGTTTCTCCTCTCTACGCTGCAATTATGGGAAATTATATTGAGATAATTGAATGTTTACTTTATAATGGTGCACTTGTGGATGAAAAATGCGAAGAGGCAGCTCAGGAAATGGATATAGATATTGAATCAATCCTATTACGCANAACTATTACACTATTTAAAACTTTGGAAAGTAATGTATTTGGTAAACATGTTTGGAGAGGAGACATTTACATCGAAACAAGTAAAGGACTAT